AAACGATGTCGTTTTAGGATTTCGAGCCATTCGACCCTATGATATTTCGAGCTACCAATCGGGAGTTGAATATAACCAAAGATGTATGGGATCCAACTCGATCAAGTTTCTGCCAAACCAAATCATAAATCCAGATGATTTCGTAGTTGTCATAATGAGTTTTAGGTAGCAAAGATAAACATTGAAAAGAATGATTTCATGGTGATGATGTGCTTGTCATTGAGGCTGCCGAGCTAAATACTAAATAAATGGCCTGACTGACACAGCAGTCTCACATTTTGGGTAAATTACACTATTGATTTCTCTAATTTAAGCAAAATTTTATTTTAGTTTTCATAGTTTTAATTTAAATAATATAAATTTTATATTTTTAATTTTGTTATAATGATCTCTTCGTCATGTTTTGTTAATATTTTGAAAGGAATAACATCATATGCAAAACTAGATGTTCCTGTACATTTTGTTTTGAAATTCATTTTGATCTCTCTAGTTTTAGACATTGTCTTTTTTCATTCCAAATTCTAATGGTAAATGATGGAGGGACACTTAAACATATATTTAGGAACCAAACTTTTGGTCCTCAAAAGTAAAAATTTTATTGTAAAAAAAAATTGGGGGCTAATTTATAACATCGCGAGAGTCGTTGTTAAAAAGTAATTTGAAAAAAAAAAGAAGACATTTAGAGTGAATTTTGAAAATATTGCTAGTAAATGCATTTTTAGGGATAAAACAATTTCATGCCACAAAAAATTTAATCCCAAAATGATAGTAATTTATCACTAATTTCATAGCTGAAAATACAACACTAACATTTTTGATAACTAAAATATTCTGTCCCTAAAAAGTGGTTTGGTCTCTAAAATCTTAATTTGTTGTAGTATGATCACATTGCAACAAAAATAAAAGTATAGAGTTTAAATTATTCAAATAAAAACTACAGAAACTAGAGTGATACCTCGTTTGAACTACATGGATTAATGGAATAATTTACTCTATTATCTCACCAAATAAGGTAATAAAGCACAATTGCCATTTTTTCCCTCTTAAACAAACATCCACATATTAAGTAGGTATTATAATTGAGCACGAGTACAATTGCGTTTAAGTAACAATAACTGCTTAATATTATTTGATTAAATTGACAACTTCATCAAATCAAATGTGTGGTTACTTTTTGTAAGGATAAGTATAATAATACTGATACAAATTCTAAATTGCAGCACTAGAACCAGCGTTATGTGAGTCTTCATCATCTCCACTGATATTCTTAGGTTGAGTCTGTATCTTGAAGTCCAGATCCAGACCTTGTTGTATATAATATTTATCCAAATGGAGAAGTATTAGGTTGAAGGGATAGGTTAGTAACTTCTTTTTAAATCCATTTTTGGCTAAAAAAATATATAACAAATCCTAGCTGAATAGTTGAAGTGTTTTGTATTCATTTCAAAACTTGCTTTTTCAATGGATTTTTAAAAATAAAAAATAAAATAAAAATAGGTGTCAGAAAAATGTTTTAGTAAATTTTTTTCATATTTAATTAATTTTTTCACTTTTAAGATCCATGTAATCTATATACACTTAAAAGGTAAAATATTTGTGAATAAATCTATAAAAATATAAAAACTAAATACAAAAAATATATATACAAAAGCCCGGTACAAAATTTTTTTTTTTTTGGCATATTTCTTCATAAATATTTTAAATTTTAATTGCATTTAGATTAGGTGTATCTAAAAGACCAAAAAAAAAAAAAATCAATTGAAATATTGAAATAATTCATAAAAGACAAAAAAAACACAAAAACAAAAAATTCGAAAACATTTTTCAAAAACTAAACCAAAAGAAGATGAAGAAAAGTTTTTCCAACTCTATCTTTCCAATCTTTCCTAATAAACAACACTATCTTTCCAAAGTAAAACTGCTTAAGCATGAAATTTCAAATTTTTAAAGAAATAAACTATAATAAATTTTCCAATAAGGCATTTTTAATTGAGTTAAATATAATTTGTTTTCTTCATAACGTTGACACATGAATGACTATTTTAAGCATGATTAGACTCAGTGGCTCATTATCAATGACTTCTTTAAGCCTAAAGTTTGCTCGAACTTTTATGGAGGAAAGAAAAATAAGTTGGGATTTTGCTTGACAGAGACATTGATCAATTAGTAGCCCATTTCTTTGTTTAGGCAAGTTGATTAATTCAACCATGAAGTGAAAATTTCTTTTCAGAAGATAGCACTTGTCCATAATTTCACTCTTTTTTTTCTCTTAGATAATTTTATACAAGTAGAATTTTTATACAAAACGATGTCGTTCTATTGCCTGTTCATTTTAAGCTAAAACAATTATCAATTTAGCTCATAATTCAAAAGAGTGTAAATTACACTAACCACCCCTGAGATTTGAAGAAAACACAATAAATCCCACAATTCTAGTTATATTGGGCTCCCTTTTAATTTCCATAATATTTAATTCATTTTTTTTTATCAATAATCCGTTAGTTATATGAATAGGAAAATTATGTTTATCATCTCTTTTGTTCTAAATGTATATATTTTTTCTTATTTATTCTTGTGTGTTTGCACTATTTATATTAGTTTCGGTCACTTTAATTTTACTAAAAGAGAAATTAGTGTAATTATGCGAATATTATAGTGCTATTTGTATTTTTTTTTCAAACCTTAGACTAGTGTAACTTACCCTTTAAAAAATATCACTGCCACATCATCATAAATAAATTTTTTTACAAATATTTATTTATTTATTTTACGTCCTTTCCAAGTAATGACCTAATTGCATACCCATGCACCTTTAAAATGCAGTCTAATTATGTATGCATGGGTCAAAAAGGTTTCCTTGAGTGGGACAATTTTTACTGATCTTGCACTAATATTAAAACACATTATTTGTTAAAGAAATGGATTGAGAAATATGTACTTTCAATATTTTGATTTTAATTGTCTGGTTATATAGAAAGTAAAGTCAAAGATTAAAAGTTGATATGAATTATTGATCAATGAATTTCCTCATCTCTGATTGAACTTGATAAGTTCTAAATAATACCTTTAAAAAGCTAACAATAATGAAGGCCAATAATATGCATTTTATATGCTTTTAACTCTTTCAAATTGTCATTAATCCAAGCATGCTCTTCTCATTATTCAGATTCTCTCCATTACAAGTATAATTGAAAATGAATTAAGTGTAATTGGTTTAAATTTGATTTCCAAATTTAATGAATTTTGAAATGTGTTCAAATTTAACTTATTTAACTTTTAAGTTGATCACGAGTAGGTTAATTAGTTTTTTATAATTTTTGTAACTGAGTATAACTGACTAGTATGTTATTTAACATTAGTTTGAAAACTTAATGAGTATTAAAATATATTTAATTTTAACTTATTTACATAACGAGTCAATCTCAAATGAACTTTTACCAAGTTGAACTACCAAGCTGAAATAGTTTTGATTTATTTAACAACCCTAGTTACAGGCAAAAAATGGGAATCCCATCACATGATTAATGATTTTGGAAAGTATGGTTAGTAAATAAATATTTTAAACTCTAAAACAACAAAATCACTACAACAAACAAGAGTTTTAGGAATCAATGTTTTTTGTTCAAAAGTGAAAATTTTGTTATAAAAAATATTTGGAGACCAATTCTTACTGTCGCGAGAATAGTTGTTAAAAGGTTGTTAAAAGATTTTTAACGACAAAAAAAATGTCACTAATAAATATACTTGTCCCATTTTTGGACAAAAATCTTAGTTCTGAAAGGATGGTAATTTATCACTAAATATTTAATTTCATCGTTAAAAATATAATAATGACACTTGTGACCATAAAAATATTTTATTCCTAAAAAATAATTTTATTCCTAAATTTTTATCTCTAAAATATTAATTTATTGTAACGAAAAGTGATACTAAAACTCATAATGACATAACAATTTACAAACGGTGAATTTTGAATCTTGATGATGTATTTTAACCACATGCATTAAAATTGAAATCCCCAATTAAAACTTGTAATGAAAAAAGATCGTAACCTCTGTTCTCATGACTTACCCAGAGACGAATCGGAATTTCATCACCGAAAAGTCAAAAGACGAATAAATTTTCAATGATGTTGTAGACCCCCAAGTGAGGTGGCGTGCCCCCACTGGCTGAAACTCAAAAAAAATAAAAATAAATAAAATCGTTTTTTTTTTTACCCAATCATCGTGCGCCACCTCACTGAGGGTCGACCCCCAATGAGAGTCCGAAGCATTTTTCATAAATTTTTTCACCGTATACACAAACACACACACATATATATGTATATATAATATGATATATAAATTGTAAAAATAAGTTTTTTTGATGCAAAATAAAAAGAGACAGTAAGATGAAAAAAGAATAAGATATATTTTTTTGGTGCAAAATAAAAAGAGACTGCAAGATGCGAAAAAAATGAGATATATATATATTTTTTATATTGGGAGACTATTTTAAATATGAAATGAGATATATATTTTTAAAATACTATGACAAATAGTAATTTTTTTTTTTATAGAAACAAAAAAATTATGACCTCTCATAATTTTCTCTAAATTCCATCCCTGAACATACATGATAGTGATAATGGTATACGATTGATAGTATTATTGATATAAGCTCTTCTAGAGATGAATGGGGTCGCATTATCACTACAAGAAAAAGTATTTTTGCCGACTACTTTTAGTTACCAAAATTAATTTAGTCGCCAAAAATCACGGAATTGGCAACCAAAAATAATATTAGTCGGCAAAAGTCAACATTTTAGCTACTAATTTTTTTAGTAGGGGAATGTTGATTATTGGCTACTAAAAAAAATTTAGTAGCTAAAGATATTACAATTGGCGACTAAAACAATTTTTAGTAGCTAAAAATATGACAATTGGCGACTAAAAAAAAATTTAGTAGCGTATATATAGGATAGGCTGTTAATTCACAAGAGGATCTGTGCTTCATTTGCATCTTTTCTGATCATGTTGAAAACTCTGTAGGTTGTTCTCATGTGGGACTAGCAAGGAAGGAGAATCATACATTGTAGAATGGAATGAAAGTGAAGGAGCTGTCAAGCGGACATATCATGGTCTTGGGAAGCGGTCTGTTGGGGTTGTGCAATTTGATACAACAAAAAACAGATTTCTGGCTGCTGGTGACGAGTTTGTAATCAAATTTTGGGACATGGATAATGTTAACCTCTTGACAACTACTGATGCAGAGGGTGGATTACCGGTAATAATCAAATTGCATCTCTTTTAGATTTGCTTCCCATCTTTCTAGAGAAATGTCTTGGTGTAAAGTAATAATCCTTGTATAAAAAACCTCTCAGGCTTCGCCTTGCATTCGGTATAATAAGGAAGGAACATTGTTGGCTGTCTCAACAAGTGAGAATGGTGTCAAGATTCTTGCAAATTCTGACGGTGTTAGGCTTCTGCGTTCCACTGAAAGTCGTGCACTTGATGCTTCTAGAATGGCTTCTGAGAGTGCTGCAAAAGTAAGTCTCTCATCAAATTTTCCTTGACAACTTTGATATGTACATGCTCTTTTTAACATGCATTATGTATCATGCAGGCCCCCATAATTGGTACATTTTGTGCTTCCAGTTCAGCTGCTGGAACAAATGTTGGTGTTGCAGATTGACTTATGAGTAAATAAATCTGATTTGTAAGACTTATTTTTAAATTTATACTTTCTAAATATTTCTAAATTTTGTAATTTTTTTTTCACAAACTGAGTCATAAAACTCCAATAAAGTAAAAAGTATAAACAATAAATAAAATTAAAAAATATTAATTTAACAAGCCTGATCTATTTTTCACATCTCGAAAAAAATTAGCAGCAAATATTTTCACAAAATTTTATCTTAATTTGAAATTCCCTCTCAAATTGGGGATTCCCCCCAAAATTTTGCCCTAACCCTTCTCCGTTTCTCATCTCACTCTCACACACAACTCCTTCTCATTCCTCACTACAAGAAAAGTGGGTTTATGAGACGGAACTATTTGCGACGGCACACTTGCCGTCTCAAAAATGAGAGTATTTGCGACGGCAAATAGTGCCGTCGCAAATGCTCTGCTTTTTTGAGACGGTAAATGGTGCCGTCGCAAATACTCTGCTTTTTGAGACGGCATTTTCTGCCGTCGCAAAAAATGACTTTCGTGTTTTTTTTTAGTGAATATTTTTAAAATTTTAAATATTTTTTTTAGATGTACCTTACTTAGATGTATCTACAAAATAAAAAAATTATGAAATTTTTTTTTAAAAATTAATAAATACATAAAAATACAAAAAAATGTATTGAATTATTATATTTTTGGTATTTAGTGAATTTTTAAAAGATTTTTTTTACAATTTTTTTAATTTTTAGTTGTATTTATGTTAGGTGTGTTTAAAAATTTTAAAAAATACTTAAAATATTTAAAAAATTCAGTAAAAACAATATAACACGGAAAACAAGAAAGTTTAATTTTCTCAAAAGAGTTTTTGGAAAACTCTAACCTAGCATAGTGATTGTGGTTTTGAGATAGCTTCATATATATACAGTCACAAAATGGTTTGAATAAATTCAACAGTATTTTTCTGTCGCAAAAGAAATTAAAAAAACACAATGTCGTCTTACTCTTTTGATATAACATTTCTCTTTTCATTCATTTTTTAATCTTCCTGTCTCTCTGTCTCTATCTCTCTCTCTTCTCTTTTTCTCTTTCACTTATCACTCTTATTTCTATGTCTGCCCGTTTGTCTCTCTTATTTTCTCTCTGTGTCTCTCGCCTATCTCTCTTCTCTCTATCTCTCTCATCTGTTTTCTCTCTCTGTGTCTCTCGCCTATCTCTCTTTGTCTATTTCTCTCTTACTATGTTCGTCTTGCTCACTCTCTTACTCTCATCTTCTCTATTTATCGAGCTCCTTCTCGATTTATCGATCCACTATAAGAAAATACACTTTTAGCAACCACTTTGTCTATCTCTCTCTCTCGCTCATCACTCTATCTCTGTCTCTCTCTCTCTGGATGAACATCACTATCTATCTCTCTCTCAAAACTTTAAATCAATGCATTGTTTTTTGTATTTTTATGTATTTATTAATTTTTTAAAATATTTTTTCACAAATTTTTTACTTTTTAGATACATCTAAGTAAGTTGCATCTAAAAAAGTAAAAAAAAATGTTTAAAATTTTAAAAATATTCACTAAAAACAAAAAAATACGAAAATCAAAAAAAGTCAGTTTTCAAAAAATTTAATCCAAAAAACTCAAACCAAACACACTGATTGATATTTTTTTATTTTTTTTGTAGTTTTAGTAAAAAACATAAAAGTTGACACAATATTAAAAGAAATTACCAGGGTATAGCCAAAAGACAAAAAAAAATTGGATTATAGCTAGCAGGCATCATATTAGAGAGATTAGGGGAGAAAGAATTTTACTCTCTATAAAGACTTTCAGCAAATGTCTAGCTCCCCGAGACAAAAGCTTCGTGGTATGTACGACACTCCTCCATCGTCTGGAGGTAGAAACGTCGCTCTTTTCCACTACAGCACCAACGCACGAACTCGCCACGATGAACAGCTTGACGAGACCGGAGGAAGCCTTCAACCTCTCCAGGATTATGTTTGTAGTAATACTTGAGCAAAGGTGTGTTAATCAACGGAACCCTCTTTCCATCTTCTTTGATAACACAAATTTGGCTTTTCCAGTTGTTTTTCTTTTCCTCCTTTCATTGTGCATCAAGTATGAACGAGGGGACAACTTGTATAGACGCCAAGATAAATTTGCTCATCATTTTCAAGCATAGACAGGAAAAAGAGTACCACTATATATCACTTGTTACTAGTCATTAACTCTATTTAATTTATTATTTCTTTATTGATTATTTCCAAAGATGCACACTACAACAATTTACACATTTGGCGACCACTTTTGCCGACCAAAAAAATTTTGGTCGCAAAAAAATGACATTTGGCGACCAAATATTAATTAGTCGCGAATAATCATTATTTTTGGCGACCAAATATTATTGGTCGCAGAAGGTTATATTTTGGCGACCAAAAAATGTGTTGGTCGCAGAAAGTGGTATACTTTTGCCGACCAACTACAAATTTGGTCGCAGAAGGTCACATATTTTTTGGCGACCAAAAATTTGGTCGCGAAAAACTTATTTTCAGCAACCAAAAAAAATTAGTCGCCAAATTAGTACTTTTAGCGACTAATATTTTGGTCGCCGTTGATTGAGATTTGGCGACTAAAACAATTTGTCGGCAAAGGTACCTTTTCTGCGACAAATGTGGTCTTTTGGTCGCCAAAAGTTTGGGAGGGAAATTTGATTTTTAGTGGGGTGGGAATTGAAATTTTTTTGCGACAAATAAAATTGGTCGCCAATAACAAAACGACGTCGTTTTGTTCCATGAAAGCAGAAAAAAAAAAAAAAGAAAAAAGAAAAAAAAGAAGAGCCCTAATCTCCGCCCTCTCGCTCTCTGTGTTCTTTCTCTCAATCGGTGCCCACTCTCTCTAGCTCACCGAAGTCCCTCACCACCGTTGCTCACATCCGTCGCACATCGCCACCGCCGCAAATCGCCATCGCCCTCTGTCTTTCTCTCGCACGGAGCGAGCGATTGCTGGGTATTCGCTGCTGTGGTTGTTGATGTGGGCCACCATGATGGGTTTGTCGATCCAGCTGTTGTCGACGAGGATCGGTCTCGCCAGGGGGAGGCACTTGGCGGAACTATGTAGGGAAGAGTATCCGTATTACGGGTAGAAATGTGGATGACACAACTGGTGCTAATGAGGTTGATTTCAGTTCATATTGAGTTTTCTGAATCATGCTGTCTTTGTACATCTGATGCTTTCTAGGTTGAATTTATTGGAGCAATTTCATTATTATGATGCTTTGGTGTTATGGTTGCAGAAAGATTCATTGATGGAGATAAGTTTTCACAATCCTAATTCAACAATTTCTAGGGTTAATTTTTCAATTGTTTTCAATTGTAAACTGAACTAATTAAATGTTCTTTTATCTCTCTGCTCTCCAGCCTCTTCTTCTTTGCTTCGACCGTTACTCCGAAAATGGAATCATGACCGTCGATCACCTTCACAGGTTCTTGATCGAGGTTGAGGGAGAAGATAAAGCCACAAAAGAAGACGCAGAGTCGATCATGGAGTCTCTCAATGAACTCAAACACCTCAATATCTTCCATCGCAAAGGTCTCCATCTCGAAGCCTTCTTTCACTACCTCTTCAGCGACTCTAATCCTCCTCTCTGTAATGGGTCTTGATCCCTCTTTGATTTTAATGATTTAAGTGCAGAGTGGGTTTCTGCAAGATTGCAACTGGTTTTGTATCTGGATCGAAAATGCTCTGAATGTGCTTCCTTCGAACTCGCACTCGCTAGGTTTGATTTCTGCCTCTCCCCTTCTCTCTTTGATTTTGGTTTTACCCTAATGACAGTGAGTCTTCACTTTCCTTTTGTAGATCAGTTTATTACTTCTTTTAATTAATTTCAATAAATTTCTTGATTTCTAATTTCGTAGATCGGTTTATTGCATTCCAGTTTATTCCCACTTGAAGGTTTGATGTTTATATAACATTTACTCTTGAGGTTTCAATTTGAAGTCACCTCTACTCTGTTTTATTTGCTTCCTCTGATGAAAATTGAGCTATTTCTTTTGTGTATATCAGTATATGTATGCTTGTGTGTTTTTGTCATTGCTCTAATGCCCTTTTTGGTTTTTATAGTGAAGTTCTTCATCTTGCTGTTAAATTTGTGGTGAGTATATACATTTTTATGTACTTGGTTAAGTATATACATTTATGTATGTATTTAGGGTATTCATGTATATATGTTTTTTTTGGTGTTTTTGCATCTTTGTTTTGATTTCCTGTTTTGGGTTATTGGGTTTTTATGTCGTATCTGTAATGGAGGTTTCAATTTAATGAAAATCAAAGATAAGTCAGATTTGTTGAGTAGAGTTGTTGACTGTCTTTGACAATAGGTTTCAATTGTTCTTGCGATCATAAATAAATGTGGTCTCTATCACTTTGTGTTTGATTGCCCCTACTGTTGTGATCTCGAGTTACTTAATCCCCAACCCATTTTGTCTCCGTATCCATTGCTTCTCTTTCTCTTATTCTAATCTTCTTTTTCAGTCCAGGGCTTCACACCCATTAAGTGTTTACGGTACAGAAGAGTTTGATCGCAATCCGAATCAACTTTCACTTTCTTTTGGATCGCCATCTTCATTGATCTTCCGTATCTGAGATTTGATCAGCAAAAAGGTATGTAATTCTCTTTCTTTCTCTGTTTCTGACAATGTAATGTGTCCTAAATATGCTCTAGAGAAGAGAAAAAAATTAAATAAAATGGAGAAGTGAATGAGAAGATTTTGTTGCATAAATCACTCTGATAAGCTTGAATTTTTGGCTGAATAAAGGAACAAAAATTTAATACTACTTTGTTGGATTTGAAGTTGTTTTAGTGCCAGTGTTCTAACTATCTCAAGGTTTGATCACTCTACTTGGTAATCTTTTAAGCATTGATAACA